CATGTTCCCAAAAGGTGAACTTATCAGAAACAAGTTTGTTAAAGATTTATCCACTTGCCTACTGGGCACTTCCACCCCCTTGCTGCCCAGGCCAATTCAGCTTTCAGCACTATGAATGATAAATTGTGCGGTCATGCAACACTACCCATATAAAAATTTTTATCATTTTGAAAACAGAGCTTTCTTTTGGTGGCATTTAATCACCACTGGGTTTTTTTTATTTGATAAACCAAAACCGAAAAAAAAAAAAAAAAAAAAGTTATAAAATTGTAATTTCTCGTTCACTGATATGCGTTGAGGCTGCAGTGATGGGCACTGAAAGTCAGTCAGTACTCATGGCACTGATAGGCAGCTCTGATGTGTAGATGTCCCCTCTGAGGAATGCAGATTTCAGTCTCTCCTCACGAGCGTCAGCGTGACAGCTCATGAGGAGAGAAATGCTGATAACTGGCATTTCCTTATTTACATGCAGTCAGCTGTGTGGACACAGCTGATCACATGACCGAGCCAAAGTCATCAGCTCTTTCCACCAAGTGCCAGGGACACAGCACACCACACTGTTGCACATGCGGTTAGAGCGGGAGGGTGTTGTAAGACGTCCTCCCCAAACCAGCTTGCGCCAGTCATTTCCTTATATGGTGGGTGGGAGGTGGTTAAAACATCAGAAAGGCATTCAGCAGTTAGCCTTTACACAAAATAAAATGTTATCTTATGCATCTTACCACCCCAAAAAAAAAAATTAAATAAAAAAAAATTCCACAACACAAAAATCCATGCCGTGTTTTCATAATGTTAAAATTTTACTTTGAAAAAAACCATTCATAAAATTTCCAGCAAGTAAAAACAGTCCAATCACAGGAATAGATTAAATGGTCCATTTACACAGCACTGAAAATAATCTTATGTTCTGAAAAAGGTTTGTTTAGCTGCTCTGATAAAATGTAGTACAAATCTGAATGTCATTCAGGTAATACAAAAAAAAGGTGACAGCAACATGTTACCAGAAGTAGAGTAAATATGATGTGAAGAGATTGAGCCACTGGAGACCTCCCAAAGGCAGGCCATGCTGCAATCTAGTACAATGTACAGAATGAATTGGACAGGGTCATCTCTGGTGTATATAGAAGAGTCTTTGTACATAAAGTATAAAAAACAAAAAAAAAAAACCAAAAACCACAAATCCAACCAAAATAATTCCAAAACTAACAAGCCTACAATATTTAAAGTAGAATCCCCCAGAGTAGTGTGCTAGAGTAACTCCTGCATATGTACCTGCTGCAACATCATACCAGATTAAATTCCCCCAATTTTTTTTATCATATTAAAAATAGGGGGGTGGGGAACAAATCCCCCCCCCCCCCCCCACACACACACAGAACACCTGCTTGACTGCAACAGGATTTGTTCTACAATGCCCATGACAACTTAACAGAACTTTGGTACGGGATCTAATGCCCTTTAGGAAGGACAAATAGCAAGCATGTAATAACAGTAAGATGTTCATTGTACAGGAAAGTCTCACAAGCCTTTAAGGCCACAAATATTATAGCTTAGATTTCCCCAATTACAGCCAACTGTCCCAATTACAGTCAGTGGTCTTACAAAAAAACAACAAAAACAAAAAAACCTAATTATAAAATTTAGAAATGTGCGCAGTGAATTGCATTTTGGAGTTATAGAATAGAGAGACCAACAAAAATATACATCTTCAAATAGTGATGAGGCAGATTGTGAAGTACAGTACAAAAAAATAGTCTGCAAAACTTGTGAAGACACTTTCTCCTTATAAATAGTTTTAATTTGCAAAAAAAAAAAAAAAAATGAATTATATTATATATCCAGCAGTTAAATCCAAGTAAATAAGTGGAAACACAGAAATAAGATACAAGTGAATGAAGTTAAATAGATTCAGGCAAACAATCACAGCAAGAAGCAAAACCCTAAACAGCAATAATTGGCCAAATCTCATTAGCATTTTAAAAGCAACACAAAAATAGACTCAGACCTGTGTAATCTGCCAAGTTCACTATTCATGGCACAAACTTGCTTCAGCAGCTGTTGAGTCTGCTTTGAACCAAGCCCATATACTTCACAATGTAGACCTTGTTACATCAGGCTCCACTCACACTTGTACAACTAAAAGTTGTGCAACTTTGCAGGACAAGTCACATCCAAGTCGCACCCATCCAAAGTCAGACCCACTGTTGCATGTAAAAACATTCAGGTAAAGTGTCCATGCAACTTGAGGGTTACACTGAAGTCAAGTTGCATGAAAGTCAGACTAAAGTAGTGCATGAACTACTTTGAAGTTGCTGCAACTTAAGTCATACATATTTGAATGGTTAATGGGAGACATGGAGTACTACTTGTCATGTGCAACTTGTCATGCAACTTTGATTTCCAAAGTCACAAGTGTGAATGGGGTGTCAGGGGCCCTTTAAGAATCAAAAAGGAATAGGGAGCTGCATATAAGCTGCCAGTCCAACACCATGGGTAGAAAAAACCGCTTCAGCTCATCTCCTCTGAAGCCATGCCTGTACTGACATTTCATTCTTCCACAGGTTGTCATAGGCATAGACCTCCAACTAAGCCCATGGGAGGGCGAAACACAGGTGTGGCTTGGTTGGGAGGAGACAAGCTGAAGCTTTTTTTTTGTTTCCATTATTAAACATATGCCGATTGCGCTGGCAACTGGTGTGCCGTTCGCTATTCTTTGATACTTGGCAGACCAGACAAGCCCTGTTGGATGCAGGCACACAGCAGCATTGAAGCCACTGGGCTGTTGCATGTTTTGTGCTTGGAGCAGTACTCTTCCATTATTTCTCATCATCATGGGCCCTTTGTGGAAAGGGCTGTGATTGACAGCTGCTTTACAGCAACACTTAAATATTTTTAAGCTTGCTTTTTTATTTTCAATTGTTGGCAGAGTGGCTTGTTCATTGGGTTGTACACCCCTCAAGGAAAGATCATGAATCAAGGGCTTGACCAAAGTATATCTAGCCTGTAATGTGTACTGTATCATCCATAGTATATAATGAAGATACAAAGAACACAGGCAGTAATGCAGGCCATAGACGGGTTATTGGCCAAATTTTTGTCCGCATGAAAAATTGGCCGATATTCACGCCGTTAGTGGGGCCAACCTGTTCGAGGATCTTCTGGTTTAGTTTTATTGGTCATGCTGGAAAATCCACAAAAAACGGCAGTTTTTCTTGGACATTTGTGGCAGTATCGGCAACGGGGCTGACCGATTTTTCATATAAATCGGCCAACAAACAGCCCATCTATGCATTACTCAACAGAACTACAATTTTTAGCCAGCCTCTTAGCCTGTCCTGGCAAAATCAAGACGTGGATGGACCTTCACCCACCAGAGCCCTCAGCAGAAGCAGGTATTTAGTGAAAAATAAGAAGCAGACTAGCGTGCTACAGAAAGTTGTGAAAACCCCAAATACAAAAACACTTCTGGGGTTCTAGTGGGGCTTCTGCTTAGCTACAAGACCATCATTCTAATACAATTTACTCAAGTTCTGAGAATCTGGACAAACAGAATTCCTAATCCCTGATGAAGAGACCTCTAAACATGTAGCTTTATTAAAAAAAAAATAAATATGAAGTATTTTAGTTCTGAATTCTAGATTGGTGGTCCTCTTTCTAGACGTTTCTCCCATACCTGGAACAAGTATGCAGCTCAGAAGAGTCAGGTCTGAGTTTGCATAGCTGTTTCAAATTAGGTACAGCTACTGAAGCAAGCCACTCATGCCAGTCAAGAAACTAACATTCAGAAACAGAGGTCACAACGGCAAGCGCCATCTTCTTATTGCATGATTTACTTCAGAGTACAAGGCAATAGAAAGGCTGGTAGGGAGAGGTAGAGCAGACATTAGGCTTTATTTTTTCGGTCCTGGATCATTTAGTGCTCTTAGGAGATGGGGTTTAAACTTTACTATCCTTTTATGCCATGGGGGGGGCAACTAAAAAAACAGTTGGCCTTCATACAACTAAGCTCAGTCATGCAGGTATTCTTTGCACCAATAACAGTCATTTCAGCATTGACTTCCTTACTACCTCAGGGATCATTTATTTCCCATCTCATTTGGCAGAGAAATGTCTGCTCAACTAGGAAACTAAACATCAGGAAGCATAAAAGAATTAAAATGCAAGTTGGCATTTGATAACAGATGTCATTAAAAAGAGTGACATACTTTTAGAACTTGAGGAATTATCAAAAATGTATAGTTTTAAAAACTCCTAAAAGCCATTTCAAAAGTATTCATGGTGCCAAGGTCATACCTGCATTTAGGTGGACTAATGTTAAGCAGGGACATAAGAGCATTCTCCCACCAGGAAAATTTCTCATCTCTTTAAGCAGGCAAGATGTCTCCGGAAAAACCATTTCATCACCCTTCCTTGTTTTTTTGGTGAGTTGTTATAGATTCTGTCAATTGCATGATTGCTTTCAACAGAACTGGTTGCATGAGACAACTTGTCAAAGATTTCTAACTCAGCTGAAATTTTTCTTCCCTAAGATTATGCTAATGTGGATACTGATGAGGAACCCTTATTTGGCTCAGAAATGCAACAGTACAACATGACAAAATGGAGAGAAAGACTGACTACCACATGGCGCAAAAAGAAGAAAAAAAAAAAAAAAATTGAGGCAGCATTTACAGGCACTACAATTAAAGACAGACATCTTAAATAAAAGTGTAGCCTTTCAACTACATGACGACATTTAAAACCTTTAAATAAAAACAAAAAAAGTAAAAAACTAAAATTTATTGCAGCATGAAACGTGTGTTTAGCACACAAGCTTCTGACAATGTGACCAAGTTTCTTAACGCCCAAGCTGCAAAATCACAGCCTACCCTCTCTGCTTAGGCGCTAGGAGTTGGTAATAAAAACTAAAAACAGGATAAAATTAAAAGCCTCGAGGTAATGTAGCTGCGCAGCAGGCACTTGTTTGTCATCTAGAAAGCAGCTCTCAGATTTTCCATACACTAGAATATCCTCTTGCGTTTCATATAGGAATCTGCATAGTGCCCACCGAGGCCTTGAGAATGCTGTCCAACATATCCTCCCTCAGGACTTGGCTCAGGGGATGGGATCAAGTGAGAAAAACCTCGTTTTTGGGCTCCAATGGGAGTCTGCAAAGAAAGGGTTTAAAAGTTTAGAAATGGTGCCCTATGGCTATTTCTTGTATGTCAACTAAAAGAAACTGCAGTGTTGGACTTGAGTTAGTCTCCATAACATAGGACCAAGCTCTTTAGTTCAGAGGTTAAGAGGGGAGGACGTTCTGTAGTCCAAGTTAGGAGAGCAGCCTAGGTTGCCAACAGAGCTTTGAGAGTGCTAGAAGATAATAAAAATAGATATGCTTGGAGTTGGGCTACAAGGTTAGTTTTCCAAGCCGTGGCAGTTTTCCATGCCTTAAAGTGGTTCTAAAGGCTTGAGTGTTTACCTTCATGCATACTATGCATTAGGGTTAAAAAAAAAAAAAAAAAAAAAAACTTGGTGCAGCTCCTCCCCCCCCCCCCAATGCACATCACTGGATTGAGATGGGGCACAGCAAGTATGACAGCAGCTACTCTCCCCCCTCATTGGCTTACACAGCAGCAGGAGCCATGGTGGGGCAGGTTCACACTGTGTGCATAGACAGCTCAGGAGAGAGTCTGCTCAAGTGCCTCCAAAGCAGGAGGCTTGCTACTAGGGCACTTGGCAGGGGGAGGAGACAGGAGCACCAGCATGGGACCCAAAAAGGTTGTAGCTATGGGAACATGTTGCATGTTCCACCCTAAGGATAGGTTCACATATGAGTTAGGTGGTGCCGCTGCGGATCTGCTCAAAAATCCATGCAGCCGCACCGGAGGAATGAGAGACCCGTTGGCGGGTGCCATTAATTCTAATTGCACACCCCCTGCACTGGAAATTGCAACCGTACTGGGAACAGAAGTTCCTGTGCAGGCTGTGGTTTCAGAAGTGCAGGGACTTCTCTGTGTGTCATAGGGCACAGAAGTCCATTCAAATGAATGGGCTCTTGTGCCCCTGCAGAATGCAGACCGCGGATATGTGAACCAGGGGTATGAAGAAAAAAAAAAAAACGAACATGTAACATGTAACATGTTCCAAAAGTTGAACTTATCCCTTAACATTTAACCAATTCTTCCTGGAAGGGGAAGAGTGTTCAAGTAGTTTCTGCTCCATTAGTTGTACCCAGCATCTCTCCTGTTCCCAGATTGAAGAATAAGGCTGCTGGAGTCTAGGTCTGCTATCTGCTTCAATTTGCAAACAGCGAGGAGGAAATCTGAATGATCTACGCTTTTTCCCTGAAGAGGTTTTTGCCCAGGACTACACCTCATGAAATGTAGTCCACCTGGTAAAATACATGCCCAATATTCAGAGGTCTGCAGTTTCCCCAGTGAAGAGAAAGGCAAGAACAACCCACCACATTACAAACACAAAACTAGTCTTACTTTACAGGAATTTCCAGAAGGTAGCACTTGATCTTCGTAATCCAGAAGCACTCTTCCTGGACTGGTAGGAGGCATGCCCACAGCCTGCAGAAAGACACCAGTTTTTGCATCAGAGATAGTAAAAATACAGCCCAAATAACCACAACACTCCCATTTAAATAGCTTTGTTCAAGCACAAGCTTCTCACTTTGTTCAGGTGAGTCTGGTGCAGCCCAGCCTGCAATCCATTGGTGAAGTAAGAGGTAGAGGATCCCGCGCTAAAAGGAGGCAGAGGAGCTGGCATACTGCTACTGCGCTCTCGAAATCTTGAAAACCTGTAGAACACATTCCTGGGTGATGCTTACAGTTACAGATCCAATGGTTTTCTGACTGATGAAATTTTAGATGTTTTAAAAATGTCAGTGTACACTTCTAGATATGCTGTTTGCTTGGCTGTTCTGATCACAGATAAACACAGCTGTTGAACCTGTCATAGGCATGCATCAAGGGTACCACCTACACCTGCCTTTACACCCCCCCCTCTCCTTCCCTGGGTCACCATCCAGTGGAACTGTATGGGTCCTATTCAAATAGGAAATAGCTGAGACAGTCAGCAAACCCCCATCTCTTGTAGAAGTCTCTCAGAATTCTCTTGTAGACAAACCATTAAAAAAAAAAAAAAAAAAAAAAAAAAAAAAAACCTTCAGTATAGGGTGGATGCTGTTGGGCCATGTGGGCAAGAAATCCCTATAAAAATGGATAGGGACACAAAATGGACGGCCGGCCCACCCCACACCTATGCAGGTTGCACTTGACCAGTTTCTGCAATTCGTTTTGCGTGGTTTCTTTTTTTTTTTTTTTTTTTTTTTTTCTTGTTGCTAGGCAGATAAAAAAACAAACAAAACAATACATGCTTTTCTGCAGTGTTTCAATTGAAGTCTATAGAACCAAAAAAAAATGTTTTTTTTTCTCTCCTTTAAAAAAGGTCTGACCCTTTCCTCAAAACGCACCAGGTGAATAACAGATGTGAACATGTCCCATATGAAATCATGTTAAATGGACTGTACCGTGTTTCTTCAAAACTCTGCAGAAAACACTTACATGTGAACCTAGGGTAAGACTGCCACTGCCTGTAAATCACCGCTAAGGTGAAACGCACATGTCCTGATGTCATCCTGTGCTCTAAAAGACCACACAGAGGAACATTAAGTGGGGCTGACATCTTCCCAAACAGGGGCACTTACCAGTCTACACTGTAGGGCCTAGTAGGCCCAAACCTCACCAGTCACAGTGGGCATGCTCTACGCCCCTCAAGGATTTCTGCCCTGGACCTGAAAAGCACCCTGGCAGCCATCAAAATCAGGTAGGTCAGTGTTTACTGCCCACAGAACCGAGCGCCAAAACGGCAGACATTACAGGCCTTCCCCCGCTCTTGTATGCAGGGTCCGGTTACAATCGCTCTTAGCGCACCAGCTGTAGTGACTGATCCAGATCCAGGAGCAGGCATGGAGATAACAGGAACACAAGCCTCCATAATAAAGGTCTTCAGAGAGACTCAGGAAAGCATCCATTAGACAGTAGCACAAAACGCAGGCTTGGCTGAGCTTGGAGGGGTTACACCAGGACAGATTTTTCCCTGGCCAGTGTCCAGTCACCTTAAAAAAGGTGGCAGAATAACTCATGTAGTAATGACTATTAACTCCCCGTGTCCTGTGATATGATGAAAGAAATGTCTGACCTGTTATTGAAGCTTGGCATCCACAACTAATGTTTACCTTATTCCTGGGCTCCAATGTACTCAGGTTTGACACAGTACGGTCTCGGTTTTGGGAGAAAGATCGTGGGGGTAGCTCCTGACAGGGGGAAAAAAAAAAAAAAAAAAAAAAAAAAAACTTACATCACAGCCAGACAAATGTGTACACACATTTAGAAGTGTCATCAAGAAGTGCACCTGCCATTTACCTGGAGACTATACAGTGTATCGGGTAGCCAAGGTAAGCACTGCTTTGTTTTTACAAAAGTGAAGATGCAATTGCAAATGATTTTGTAAATTTGTCATATTTCAAGTCTGCTAATGCTCGGTCAGAGTTTCATTTAGACATAGCAGTGCATGGTTTGATAATTTGCACTATAAAAGTTTAGCTATATCCTATTCTCTTCTGGAAAGTCTTTACATGAGATTTTGAAGAGCGTGTGGGACTTTGACCATTCAGGCAAACGAGCATTTGTGAAGTTGGTCACTCATGCTGGATGACAAGGCCTGGCCTAAAATCAGTTCAATTTAAGGTGATCATTTAAAAGTCAGGACTCTGTGCAGGACTAGTCAATACCGCAACCTTGCCGGTTTGTAGATAGGGGCACAGTCATACTGAACAGAAGACGCCTTCTCAAAATGGCTACCACAAAAGGCTGGAAGTACACAATCAATGGAAAGGTCATTGCAGGTTACAGCATTAACCGTACTGTGACAGGAGTGACTTTGGGTGGGGGGCCCACAGAATCCAGCTCACTTTGGAGAGGTGGGGAGACCCCCGTCTCAGCTCCCCATAGCCCTCTGTGTAAACACCCTGTGCCTGTGGGCTTTGGGTCAGACTGTGTAGACATGTTTAGGAGATAAGTGGGGTGGGGGTTGTTGATTGTGTAATGTTATATGGCTGCATCCCATTGTTTGGCTTGGGAGCAAACTATTATGGTGTGTGTGGAGAGGGGGGGGGGGGTCTCCAGCAGCCCTCCCTCCTGATGGGACTGTCTGCTGGTGTGAAGTTTGAATACCTGTGTGTTACTAAATGTAGATTACCCCCCGCCCTGTGTCATAATGCAGGGGGGGAGGGAATTGTCCCGAGTGAGTATATATCTTGTATCTGTGTTCAAATAAAGTAATCTACCTCCTGGTTTACTTCAAGACTGGTGTCGTCTAGTCTTGTATGATTGGCTGTGGTGTGTTGTCGGTGCTTGGACAGGGAAGCGGTATATACTAACGGAAGTACTCAAGTGCAGTCTGGGTCGGTTCCATCACAAGTACCCTTCACTAAAACCATCTGAACAAGATTCGGAGGGGGACCATAAACTATAGCATTGGAGCAGTCTGATAGTTTGTGGCTCCATGTTTAACGGTTTAATGGAACACAACACAAGCCTTGCCACTTGCTCTACTGTAGTTCTCCCATTTTCCGGTGCACCATGTTTCCTTCAGCTGTCACAGCAACATGTAGAGGAGAGTCGAAGAATCAGGGTGAAATGTTATATTACAAGAAGGGTCCAACACCCATACCCCCTTCCACAAGATATTGTTCACTATAGAACAGACATGTTCACTGAGAGGACAGTGCAACATGGTCTACTTACTGTCTGAAAATCAAAAGGATAGCCCTCTGTAGGTGTCAGCATGGACTCCTGCAAGGAGGCAAGAGGAACCCTGGTCACTGCAGATTTTTGCTTGTAGGTTGCCGGTTTACTTGCTTGACCTAAAAAAAGAGGCGGAACAAAAAAAAAAAAAAAAGTTAGACAGTGTGCAAATATCAAACTTGAATGTGTTTACTTCTGGTCACCTGCTGCATACCCAGTGAGGCTGTGCTCGGGATCCGCCCATGAAAATTCATAAACTGCCCAGGATGAACAGGTGGTTCTCCAAGGAGCGACATCTGTAAAGGTTTAGGCAAGAACACATTGTAAATCATATCCAACTGTCCAGTTGCAGGAGAGGAAAAACAAAAAAAAAAACAAAATTTGGTTACAGCTGAAACATTTGACACCTAGTGGGTCCTGGAGAAATTAGTTGCCACATTGGGGTTTATTTACTAAAGCTGGAGTGCGCAAAAATCAGGCTCACTTCTGCATAGAAACCAGCTTGTTCAATTAAGCTCTGACAATAAAACCTGGAAGGGGATTGGTATCTATGCAGAAGTGAGCCTGATTTTGAACTCTCCAGCTTTAGTAAATAAACCCCACTATCTCTAAATGGTGTATCATTACCTGCAGGCAGCCACTTTTAAAATCTCCCCTGCAGTGTCTCCACCATCGGATACCATCCCGAATGGCCATCTTCTGGCAACATAATGATTAAATGGCAGGGGACAGTACAGGCAAAAGGTTGGACAGCCCCCTTTTGCCATTCATACTGCTATTACTACAGTCCCACAATGCATCATGTTCTGTGAGTGGGCAGAGGAGATCCTGTCATTCAACTGCTCCTTCATTCACAGAACAGGTTGCATGGTAGGAGAATAGTAGCACAAGTTGTGATTTTCGATGAAGCACTAATATATATAAAATATATATATATATATTAGTGCTTAGCAGCATATCACTAAACTGTAATATGTAATAAGTTTTTATTGGATTCAGAAGTTAGGGAGGGGAAAAAAAAAAAACAAAAAAACACTAACTGCTTCAATACCAGTCCCTTTCATCCCCTTTCTGGCCAGGACAAATTTTTAGATTTCAGCACCGACCAAGTGCTCAGTCATGCAACCTTAGAAAAAGTGATAAATTTAAATTTGGGCAAAAATAGAGAGATTTCTTTTGGTGGTATTTAATCACCACTGGGTTTTATTTTTGCTAAAGGAAAAATTTTGAACCCCCCCCCCCCCCCCCCCCCCCCAACATAACAGTATACATTTTGGCTTAAATTTTCTGAACAACCATTATTTGCAAACAGATGAAGAAAAATGCACACTGCTAATTTTTTTTGGTGAACACCCAAATGAGAGTTTATTATATAGTTTGAAGGAAAGTTAGGAGTCCACAATCTATGTGGAAATCGATCAATCCTGATGTACTCATTGAAGTCATTTCTTGCGGCCCTAGAATGTCTGAATATTAACCACTTCCAGTCGACACTTTTACCCCCTTCCTGTCCAGGCCAATTTTCAGCTTTCAGTGCTGTCACACTTTGAATGACAATTGCGCAGTCATGCAACACTGTACCCATATACATTTTTTAGCATTTTGAGACAGATAAAGCTTTAATTTTGGTGGTATTTATTCACCACTTGGATTTTTATTTTTTTTTTGCTATGCAAATGAAAAATGTCTAAAAATTTGACAAAAAAAAAAAAAAAAAGTGTCCTTGAAATTTTATTTGCAAACTTTTTATATCATAAAAACAATGGCCAAAATGTATTCTTTAGTAAAAAAAAAAAAAATTAAAAAACCAAATTAATTTATAACCAAAATAATAATTTTTAAACATTTTTTTTACATACCGTCACCCTAGCAGTACAGTGTCACCATGGTGACACTGTACTGCTTGTGGGGGGTGATTAAGATTTTTTTTTTTCACAGATTGCTTTTACATCCTTTATGGGTGTAAAAGCAATCATTTCTCCTACTCTCTGGCTGCATTCTTGCAGCCATTGAGAACTACTGAGTGAGCTGCGATTGGTCACAGCTTGTCACATGGTACAAGGCTGTTGTAAATAGCCTTGTACCATGTGACTTGCGACATTGCTTACGTGTGAAATCTGTGAATGATCAGAAGTGACATCTTGCTTACTACTCTGCATGTGATAACTGATTGGCCAATCAGGGATCACATGATTGGGACCTCGTACAGAACTCCCATCCGACGATCAGTGTTCCACTGTGTCCGGAGGACACAGCGGGCACCGGATCGCGGTGCTGCGCACTCCCAGAGAGCACGCACAAGCAGGGTGTGGGGAGGCCATTTATAAATGGCCACCCGACCCTGCACTGCCATCATCCAGCCGTTTATATACAATGGCCAGACGGGAGGTGGTAAAACAAAACAACAACAAAAACCACTTTAGGGATGGCTCTGGTCTAGGCTTTCTATATTTTGCAATCACAGCAGAGTCAACAGGGATCACCAAAATTTCTAAACAAGTTTACGGTCCTTCAGACTTCAGGGGGGCAGACTGTGCCTAGTAGGAGGAAACCATGCCTGATCTTTGGTATTGGGGGGGAATAGTTTGTGTCAGTAGAAGGAATAGAGCCCGATTGTTGGGGTTTGTGGCAGGAATTATGCCTCAAGGTTCTGGATAGAGGCAAACAAAAAGGGCCACATCCAGCCTGAAGGCCGCAGTTTGGAGACAATTGGTTTAGAGCTATAAACTAACATTAGATCTCCCTTTCAGATTTTTAGGAGGCATCCCATTTCCATGAACTGAGAAGGAAGACCGGGTGAAGATTTAATCCTAGTCAGCACATCGCTGGAGGGATCAGTTTTTTTTCTAGGGAAGTCTGCCATAATATGCTAGTATGTGGTGCCTGCAGGGGGACCAGTTTTCCCCAGTCAGTTTAATACCCCTTTAATGCAGCTCTTGGCACCTTCTCTTGAGCATGCACATCTTCTGCTCTCGGAGGCTGCGTGGTGTAATATAGCCATACAAATCTCAGATCTGTATTAACAAAAATACAAACCCATTTCCATTTCATGTGTGTATTTAGTAGTGCGACTGGAGGAACTGTAAAAGTCCAGCTTTAGCGGACACCTGTCACTGGGATAGAAGAGAGGGAATCTCCCCAGTGGGGACAGCTGGAAAATCCACATAAAATGTTTTAACGGTTCCCTACTTGGCTATTAAAAGAAGAAGCTGAACACTGGTTTTGTCTGAAGGTCCTCATTAATCCAGGCCATTACATAGCCAGTAGTCACTTTCAACTGGCCTTGTCTGATGGAGGTGTCCATGCTTATTCTAGCAGCTTCTTCAGCATCTATATAATCCAACATTTGTAGCCACATGAGTAAAATGGCAACCTAACCCACTGACATACAAACGTTTAGCTAGAAAGGACAACTGGTTTACAAGCAGCCATCTATGTCAAACAGAACCATTCCTAAATTGGCAGGACCTTTGTCAAACAATGCACTCATCTCTAACCCCCCCATATTCTGATTACAGGGCAAACCTTGAGCCAAGCAACTTGGGTGATTAACCCCTGCTCCAGTCCCCAGGGCACCATAGGGATTGATTTTAGCCCTGGTTCACACTGATGTGGTGTGGAATTCACAGCATTTCCTGCGCAAATTCCACACCACATCAGAATTGCAACTAGTTCATGCGAACCGCTGCAGGTGTGTATGTTAAAGTTAACACCCTGAAAGCAGTCAGCAAAACGGGGTGCGATGTGCAGAATCTGATCGCATAGGTGTGAATACTCATGCCATCCGATTCTAGGGCGGCCAAAAAAAGGGTCCCGCACGTTTTTTGGTGCAGAGCGATTACAGCCATACAAAATGCAGTTCCTTTGCGAATCACAAGCAATATCCCACACCAGATATAGGTGAACCCAGGCTAATTGATAGAACAGGTGGTTCTGCAAACATCACACCTCCCAACATGCTCATTGACAAACATCCACTTCGGCACATCCCAAGGGTGCAGATTTACTAGTATTGCCTTAAAATGTTGGGAAATCTTCTGGACACACATTAAGAACAAAGAACGGGCAGTGAAATGTCTAACATTACAGAACAAGTCCACTAAAAATGTCAGAACAGGTAATGAGAAAAGCTCTTGTGATGGAGTTTCTTCCCTATGGGAACACAAAGCAATAAAATTGCAGACACATCTAACATTTACAACAAGACTAGTTGGACTGGAGCTCCGCCCGCTTTAATAACAGCCCAGCAGTACCTTACCACTGGAGACTGGAAGTTTTGTACGTACCACCGGCTCTGTGGTCTTTGGCAGCCCACTGAGAAAGGAGCTCAAAACAGGGGTAGGTGGGGGGCTATCCCAGTCTGGTGGCTGAGGTCCTAAAAACTGCTGTAGCTGGGGGGTACCCAAATCAGATGGAATACCCACAGCTGGAAGGGAGCCTAGAATTAAAACAAAATAGAAAACGTCAGCTGTCACTGCATCTCAAGACATGTAACAGAGGCCACAATGAGATCACATTTGAGAGGCATACATACAAGTCTTTGCTATGAACTGATATACTACAGTATTTTTAGCACGGTCTAGGCAGCTACCAGTGTCAGATTTTATGGGGTTTTTTTATTATAGCAAGTGAGAAGAGTAAAAAGGACAAACGAAAAGGAATTGCCATTCGTCTTGTGTACAGAAGCCAGGAGGAAAGAAAAAGCAGGGACTTTACCCCATGAGATGCTTGGCTTCATGTCCTAATCCACACCATAAAAGTGATAGACTTCTCCACTCTTTATACACACTTCTATTAAACAAAAAAACTCCTAAACCCAATTTATTGCATTAACTTTCAACACCATCCAGAACGTTTGGATGTAAAGCAAACTGCCCATTTTGCATAAAAAGCCACCATCCAATTTTCTTTGATTTAGGGGTTTTATTTTTTTCTGAATTCATATTTTAAAATCAGCACACGAATTGACTGAGGGAAGGGCAGCAGAGAAGCCAGTTAGGTTCTGCTGCATTGCACACTGCTGTCCAGATACTGAGGGCATCCTAAAATGGATCTAAAATCTGAAGTAAAAGCATTACTAAATCAACAGTAAAATCAGTCCATATATGTAGTAAAGCATGCTTGGTATACGCTACACAATGCAGGGGATTAACCCCTCAGGTTTCAAAGGCAGTTTGATCCTGTCTGAGCCTCCCCTTCTACTATCCCCAATCCATCTGGTAGTACAGAGCCCTAGGAGGCAATCTGCACATGCTCAATTTGGCATGTATTACACTTTTTATTTTTATATACAGCTGATGAGAAAAGTTAATTAGCATTTCAATTTTCAGGTTGTGTGTACTGTGGGAGACCAGATATAGTGAATACAGGGTCCTGAGTTTAGGAACACTAACAAATTCCATACAAAATTACTCAGCACCACAAAATGATGCTTGGTTCTGTATTCTCTCAAAGGGGTGGTCCTGAGAGATGGAACCAAGGAGCTGTGCTCAGAGGTGGGTAGGAGGCAGGAGAAGAGAGACTTGAAAGGGGGAGTCCTTGCACCTCAACAGAAAAAAAGCCCTGGCTAAAAGGATTCTGGACTGCTTGCCGGGTTCTGGGTTTAGTACAGTGGGGCAAAAAAGTATTTAGTCAGCCACCAATTGTGCAAGTTCTCCCACTTAAAAAGATGAGAGGCCTGTAATTGGCATCATAGGTAGACCTCAACTATGAGAGACAAAAGGAGAAAAAAAATCCAGACAATCACATTGGCTGATTTGGAAAGAATTTATTTGCAAATTATGGTGGAAAATAAGTATTTTGTCAAAATCAAAAGTTCATCTCAATACTTTGTTATATATCCTTTGTTGGCAATGACAGAGGTCAGACGTTTCCTGTAAGTCTTCACAAGGTTGGCACACACTGTTGCTGGTATGTTGGCCCATTCCTCCATGCAGATCTCCTCTAGAGCAGTGATGTTTTGGGGCTGTCGCTGGGCAACACGGACTTTCAAATCCCTCCAAAGGTTTTCTATGGGGTTGAGATCTGGAGACTGGCTAGACCACTCCAGGACCTTGAAATGCTTCTTACAAAGCCACTCCTTCGTTGCCCGGGCGGTATGTTTGGGATCATTGTCATGTTGGAAGACCCAGCCACGTTTCATCTTCAATTCCCTTGCTGATGGAAGGAGGTTTGCACTCAATCTCATGATACATGGCCCCATTCATTCTGTCCTGTACATGGATCAGTCGTCCTGGTCCCTTTGCAGAGAAACAGCCCCAAAGCATGATGTTGCCACACCCCCCATGCTTCACAGTAGGTATGGCGTTCTTTGGATGCAACTCAGCATTCTCTCTCCTCCAAACACAGCGAATTGTGTTTCCACCAAAACAGTTCTATTTTGGTTTCATCTGACCATATGACATTCTCCCAATCCTCTTCTGGATCATCCAAATGCTCTCTAGCAAACTTCAGACGGGCCCGGACATGTACAGGCTTAAGCAGGGGGACACGTCTGGCACTGCAGGATCTGAGTCCCTGGCGGCGTAGTGTGTTACTGATGGTAGCCTTTGTTACGTTGGTCCCAGCTCTCTGCAGCTCATTCACTAGGTCCCCCCCCCCCCCCCCGTGTGGTCCTGGGATTTTTGCTCACCGTTCTTGTGATCATTTTGACCCCACGGGGTGAGATCTTGCGTGGAGCCCCAGATCGAGGGAGATTATCAGTGGTCTTGTATGTCTTCCATTTTCTAATTATTGCTCCCACAGTTGATTTGTTCACACCAAGCTGCTTGCCTATTGCAGATTCAGTCTTCCCAGCCTGGTGCAGATCTACAATTTTGTTTCTGGTGTCCTTCGACAGCTCTTTGGTCTTCACCATAGTGGAGTTTGGAGTGTGACTGTTTGAACTTGTTATCAGTATAAAAGACACCTGTCCACAACCTCAAACAGGTGCCATTGATACAGGTAATGAGTGCAGGATAGAGGAGCCTCTTAAAGAAGAAGGTACAGGTCTGTGAGAGCCAGAAATCTTGCTTGTTTGTAGGTGACCAAATACTTATTTTCCACCATAATTTGCAAATAAATTCTTTCCAAATCAGCCAATGTGATTGTCTGGATTTTTTTTTTCTCATTTTGTCTCTCATAGTCGAGGTCTACCTATGATGCCAATTACAGGCCTCTCTCATCTTTTTAAGTGGGAGAACTTGCACAATTGGTGGCTGACTAAATACTTGTTTGCCCCACTGTAACACCAACTTGTCCTTGACCTTTAAAAAGCCATTTCAAACTTAAAAATAAAATATGGAGAATGCTTTATAGGTCCTACTTCTCTTGTGGATCGCAGGAGTGCATGTGTGTGCTCTCCTGTGATCCAGAATCTGCTGACAACCAGCTGATGTCCAGAGTCACTCCAGGCTCTGGAAGGATCCCAACCATATTGTTGGGATTCACATAGCTGTTTGATGGACAGCTGGCTCCAATTCAGAGCATGTGGCTGAGAGCTGAAGCCAGCTTAGCCTGACCCCTGTCCAGCCCAAGACTCCATAGAGTGCTGAAGCAAAGCTAAAGTTCACAAGTACCTCCCCTTTGCTTCTTGGTGCCAGGTCTTTGGCGGGTGGAGAACGCCAACTCCCACGTATGCACATGGGAGTCAATTCTGTACAGAGGTGTGCAAAAAAGGAAACTTCCCCATCAGCAAATACTTACCAATTCCTAGATCTGGTAGGATAGGTTTTCCTGGAGGAGTGAGTTGGGGTGATAGGCCCAGAGCTCCATATAATGTGGCAAGGGGGGAGTCACCTAGAATTCCAGGCTTCTGCAAGAAAGTCAAATACATATTACAAAACAGAAACCTGCTTTTCAGAGGGTGAGGAGCAGACATCCCATACTCTCCAGCTGTTTAAACCCTAAAAAAACTGAACCAGCCATCCCATACACCAAAAAGCGGTCTGTGTTTGACTGCGGAACCGCCCACCAAATGCAATATGCAGTTTACTTTTTACTGCAGCATGTGTACAGCCCTCCTACAAACCCCTGGCCGAGCATGTGAACGAGACCCAACGTGTCAAGTCCCATTTCTACAAATACTTTTCTATGCATGACAATATTGTGATGGCCAGACAATGAGATTACATGCATGTGGAGCCCACAGTAAACAAGACAATAAAAAGTCAAACAATTTACAGCCCTCATTGCGCATTAAAGCAGCACGGCATAAAGGCTTCATGTCCTAAGGACATTGTAAACACATCCTGGACTTGAGTGGTTAAAATGCTTTCATGGCTGCAGCCACGAGCTTGGTAGCTTTTTTTTTAGCCAGTGGACGGCTCTTCAGTAAAAGTGATCTGAGCATTCCTCTGGGTAGCCCGGGACCACGGTAAACTTCCCTAATAGTTCGCTACCCGATCTATGACTAATTCACCATATATATTGTAGCTGGGGAAATGCTAATAAAAGCACAGGGTCCGATTTGCTGTACAGGAGGACAGGGAGACATTAGGAGGTCAACAGTTAAAGCACCCCCCCCCTTGATATGTTTGGTAAAATGGGTTATGTCAAGTAAAGAGATGCCAAAGATGGATTCTCTCCCGCCCAAAAAAAAAAAAAAAAAAAAAAAAAAAAAAGGAGAGACCATTTACCTGTGTTGGGCTTTGTGCCTGCAGTACCAGCTGCAGGAGAGCAGTAGAAAGAGCAGGATTGGCCAGAAGAGACACCGCTGGAGCTGCACCTAGGAGTCCTGGAACAGGTACAAAGCAGAACAAAATTGAAAGACACGTGGAAGGCAGCAGGCGAACACACACTTTATGTACTCAAGGGTCTCTTTGGAGCCACACAAAGCGTATAGTGGGAAAATCAAATCCCCAGCTTGAAACCTGTGGACAGATGCTGCAAACCAATTCACTGCCAAGGATCAATAGGCCTGTAACCTTAATATGGGAGCAGCCATCCAGCTGAAAGAAGTGTCTACCAAGCAAGACAGCTTCGTGGAAAGTGATCCCCCCCCCCCCCCAAAAAAAAAAAAAAAAAACCCACCACACCCTTGCAGAAAGAAGCATTGGTGGAGGGTGCAGACTTCTGTATGCCAGACAACATAGCCCAGCTCTTCTTTTGAAGACCACTACTGTGGTATTGCTCCATGGGGCACTGCAGCTCAAACACTCCAGCAAGTGAGTTGTCACATACATTATGGAACTCTACAGACACATGTCAGACAAAGAAAAAAATTCCCAGCTCACTTACCAACCCGCCTGCTACAAATCAAACTGTCCGGTTTAACATAAAATAAGTACTTAAACGAAACGCGTCAGGGAAGAGCCTCGCCGCGCTGACATCACGCCGCACGTGGGTCCGGCTGCCATCTTTGTTTTTCTTTGCATGCCAGCTTACTATACCAGTCAGCCTGTTTTTGCCATTCACTCAGCTGTATAGGCACCATTGCAAGCTGATATTGACATTTGTATGTCAGTTGGCCGACTTCATGTCAGGTTGTGATTCTGCATCTTTTGGGCTAATTTTTAGCGGAATATATTCACGAATTGCCAACAAGTCTGTTGTAGCTGATATAGGACTATTGAACGTAAGAGGTTCTCTACCTCTATGGATATTTGTGCTTGACACACCATGCCATGTCTAAAATATACTACACTATCAGCACATCCTTGTTTTTTGCGGCTTCATTTTTTGAGCCATTTAAGGTGGAGTGATACCTTTGGTACTTAGCGAGACAAAGTTGCTGGATTTATCTGGAGGAGTTGTACCTGTGTCCTGGATTGGTTTACTGCGAGGTTTAGAGCGTGGTCCGGTGTCTGAGCCATTCGAGCCCCCGCCCCCAGGGTGTTGACCAGAGCCATGATTACCACCAGGGTTCTCCCTCTCAGGATAGGATATTTACATCCGCATTAAGCTTGCGCTTCTGGTAAGTGCAAGCATACCCCATTTCTTACATCACAAGAAGTCACCTGCACTGGATTTTGGCATACTGAACTTTTTATTGGAATTTAGGCATTCATCCATTCACCATTTCACTGGACACACACACTAAAAGTTTTTACTTGCAGAGATCATCATTTTATTCATTTTGATATAGTTTTGCAGTATTCACTATTTATAGTGCCACTGATTCACTTCATCCATTCACTATTGCACTTGTCACTTTGTTGACTATCCATAATTCACCAATTGCTCACAAAATATTAATATTTCTTTGTGCCTCATGCACTTAACCTTTAGCTCTGCATTTATATTTCATGTTTCAATGGAGGATTGAGGGGTTTATCCTTTATGCTAGCGGCTACCTCTAGTTGTTTTGAGCATTCACTATTTGTTTATTCGTCCTGTTTAACAGTTCTGGTTAAAACCAGGGGTTTAGTTTGCAAACATATGCCTAAGCTGCAGGGCCACTTTACAGCATCCTAGTGTACTTCAGTCCTAACTATAAATGGAGAGTCTCTAAAGTTAGAGCACATACAGATAGAGGGCCGGTATGTCTGGAGGGGCCCACCCAGCAAAAAGGCAGGGGGACTGACTGGAAACCCAGAAGTACAACAAAAAGGTATCCAGTGTTCTCCCTCACCAATTACCCAACAGTACAATTAGCAACCACACCAACCTATAAAAATGGCCTCCCTCCAGGCATACCTGCCCTCAGTCTATCCATTATGCTATATGTGCGCCAACTTTGGAAACTCAAATAGAGTGCAGACTGCAGCACACTAGGGTGTTGTGAAGCGGCCCTGCAGCTTACACATATATGCAAAAATGCTTGCAAACTAAACCCCTGGTTTTAAAGGTGAACCTTTAGAAAGGAAAATCCAGTTTGTTGCCAAGTGAGCTGGGTTTTTTTTTTTTTTTTAATTTTATATAAAACATGCCCTTCCATGTGCTCCTTGCAGCAAGGGCCAGCTATAGGTTGGGATGGTTGCCATTGGTTTGTGCGCACGATTGCTACAAGCACCTCTGTAAAATACAGAGCAGAGATGGACGCGGTCATCCATTTTGCTGCAAACCCCTCCATTTTGTATCTGTCTCCTAGACAGAGGGGCACCAGCTAGTTGTGAGATTTATAACCATGACGCCCTCCCAATGAGTTTGCTGCCTGTGATCTGCATCAAACAGACCACATGTCACTCAGAGAGGGAGGGGAGATGAGGAAAGCTGATTTGGGAGACCCTAGCTGGAGAAGGGGTCGTAACGCCATAAACCGAGCCATCGCTGAGCTTCAAAAGACATTCCAAGGAGTCGTTAAAACAGACTTGCGTTTAAAAAACTCACTTTTCCATATAATTTTAGATCTTCAAATAGGAAATTACACATGTCCTTCGGTCATGAGTTTGGTGAGAAGGGCTGGGGTCTGACGCCACAATCGTCACAGTGCTCTCCACTCAGGCCACTAGGCTCATCCCTCACAGTAGACCCACCCAAAAAGGGCCTTCAGGGACCAGATTTCCCCTCAGGAGATCACTGGTCTGGACCTATAAAGCACCCTGCCAGTTAGGTCGCCACATACTGGATTACCCCAGTGATTGCTGCCCACAGGGTCCAAGGAGAACCTACCTTTTTTGGCCAGTGTCCATTCATCTGAAGGTGGCAACATAACCCAAATAGTCATGAATATAAGGGCACCCTGTGATGTACAATTAAATTCTTGTTCTTATAAAGATTTCAGTGCCTCGGTTGTGAACTTTTAAAGACCGATATCTTGACAATGCCAATGGCTACAGAGGTGAATGAGGGCTTGTTTTTTAAAGAACTTTGGCCTCACTTTAACCCCTTTTGCTGCAAGTTCATACGTAGAGTTTACTGAAATTTTGTTTTTGGACCTTTGCAGTAATGTGACAAGAAATTGGAACTACCACCATTTTGATTTCTAGGGTGTTTGCTTTCAGAAAATATATGTTTAGGGGCTGAAGGTTTTCAAGTAGTCTTCAAGTCTAAAATATTTTAAATGTGAGGGGAGGGGGGGGGGGGGGGTTTGGGGGACACCCCATGGCAGCAAAAGGGTTAATATTCCATCCACACACCACCAATTCTCCATCACAAAAAAAAAAGGTCACATGATATGAATACCACACTTTTTTAGAAAAAGGAAGATACATGTACACACATGTAGAGAGCTGACCTTGCTTGTTCCCAGCTGCCCCATGCAGCAGGGGGTTGAGCAGTAGCTGCAGTGTGGCTGCAGAACCCAGACCATTTAGGATCTGCAGGATGTTTGGTTCTGGGAGAAGACCATTTCCTCGATTTAATGCCTTAAAGACAAAAAAAAAAAAAAAAAAAAAAAAAAAAATTAAAGAAAAGTATACTTATTACAGATACTGCTATAGCGCCGTCAATTTACATATGTATTGTACATTGAAATCAGTCCCTAACCCTAAAGGGGCATACAAACTAAGGTCCCCAACTTACAATCATACACATACTGGGGCCAATTTAGATTGGATCCAATTAACCTACCAGCATGTTTTTGGAGTGTGTGAGGAAACCGGAGCAGGCACAGGGAGAACATGCATACTGCAGGCAGGTGGCGCCATGGTTGGGACTCAAACCAATGACCCTAGTACTGCCAGGTGGAAGTGCTAAACATTTAGCCACTGTGATGGCCAAGTTAAAAATGGCAAACTTCAGAAAAAAGGTATTTATATCATAGAGTCAAAAGTGGCACAGCTGTGACCCCTTGCTGCCCATGGCCTCAATAAGGCCAGAAATTTCTTCTCTAGATAGAGAAAGCGCAAAAAAAAAAAAAAAAAAAAAAAAGTGTGGCAGATTTTTTAGCAAAATAACAAGAGGAAAGCAGGGAGTGAAGGTGGTGGCAAGCATCAGGGGAGGGTACTGGGGCACAATGATTAAAATACCATCCCCAAAGCAGCTAGAACACAAGTGTAAGCTAGTGAGCTCCATCTGACCCTTTCCAGTGCGCAAGATCTGCCATGTTTGTGAAGTTCACCCCCAGGACAGTCCCAATCTGCAGCAGAGAGGGGTGATGTCCCAATGCCAAGCACTTATAGGTCATGGTAACCCAGGACTGCAGTTATAGGTACAATATAATCATGTCCAAAGCTCTGAACACAAAGAAAGGGAACACAGCTGCAGTGACCACAATGAAAACATGGCAGTGCATGCACACTGTGTTGAGGCCCCACAGACGCACCAAAGTTCTACAGGAATACTTTGTGCCACTTGGTGGGGGCCAAGAGAGGAGGGATGCGCACAGGTCCAGTTGCTCTACAACAGGTGTGCTATTGAATCAGTTTGTGACAAATACAAAATTACCCCAGAAATTAAATCCCTGCCGTGACCACCAGAAGGACACACACACACACACACTTAAAGGGGTTGCACCCTGTACTCCCCCACAAGAGATCTAGTGGACTGGAATAACAGGATTATACCCTATCCTGCCTTCACCTTCCATGAAGGGCATACCTCTCCCACAGAGATCCTCAGGGACAGGGCTCTGTAAAAGGGGGACCACAGCCCTGGACCTTTAACCACTTGCAGTCTGGCCACTGTATATAAAACCAGCCAGACTGTGGCAGTCCAGGGGTGGGTTGCCGTTCATAAACCGCGCCTGCCATTATGGACTATGCACGCTCCCTCCCCGCAATCTGGTGCCCGCTGTGTCCTCCGGACACAGTGGAACACCGATCACATGATCAGGACCTCGCACAGAGGTCCTGTACGACTATTACCGATTGGCCAGTGATCACATGCAGAGTAGTAAGCAAGATGACACTTCTGACATCATTGCTTACTACGTGTGAAATCTGTGAAGGATCACAGAGGTCACATGGTACAAGGCTATTCACAACAGCCTTGTACCATGTGACAAGCTGTGACCAATCACAGCTCACACAGTATTTCTCAATGGCTGCAGGAATGCAGCCAGAGAGAAGGAGAAATGACTGCTTTTACAGCCTTTATGGGTGAAAAAAAAAAAAAAAAAAAAAAAAAAAAAAAAACACAAACAAAAAAAACAAAAAAACACACACACCTTCATCACCCCCCACAAGTAGTACAGTGTGACCATGGTGACACTGTACTACTAGGGTGACTATGTAGAAGTAAAAACTATAAATAAAAAAAAAAAAAAAAAAGTAAAACATTTTAAAAAAAATTTGTTTTTGGTTATAAACTTATTTGGGTTTTTTTTTTTTTTTTTTACTAAAAACATAACTGAATACATTTTGGCCAAGATTTGATGAAATATTTGCAAAATTTTATAAGAAAAACTTTCAAAATTTTAGGATTTTCATTTATATAGCAAAAAAAAAAAAAAAAACCCCACACAAAAAAATCTCAGTGGTGAATACCAAAATAAATCTATCAGTCTCAAAAAAAAAAAAAATAAAAAAAAAAAAAAAAAAAAAATTTATATGGGTACAATATTGCATGACCACGCAATTGTCATTCAAAGTGTGATAGCACTGAAAGCTGAAAATTGGCCTGGACAGGAAGGGGGTGAAAGTGTCCGGACTTAAACTATGTGCCATGGGGAGCACCCGCAGAAGGAGCCAGTGCATGGAAGCAACATTACAGGCTGGCACAACACCCATTATACAGTATCCAGTCCAACCAATGTTCTGATGCTGCAAGAGGAGAGAGACCGCCAGACTTATCACCTACAGTGCCCAGTCATGGAAGGTAGCTGCGTATAACCTAGTCGGGGTTTTGTGCTGTAGGACTAGGAAAGCTTTACAAGTCAGATCCATTTTGTAGAAGCAGCTGTCCCAACACTCACCGTAGCTTGTGCAGCAATCAATGCAGCTAGCATGCTTCTTCCTGGAGGTCCTGGAGCACAGAATGAAACGCGAACACAGCTTCCTGCTACAGCTGCACTGTCCATCTGCCGCTGCACTACCTCCGCCATCACTTCGGACTCATACTCCACGACTGCAAAACCTTTAAACTGACCATCCTGTCCATATGCCAGCTGTAAAATAAAGTTGTAAAGGATCACAATTCTAGAAACACACACACACACACACACACACACACACACACACACACACACACACACACGGTTATGCTCCTTTGCCAGGTGATGCAGCCCTGTCTTCAATTTATTTTAGCAAATCAAGATAAGAGTGACCCTCCTCTCCTGCGTCTGCTCCCATAGCAAGCCGAGCTGTGTGCATCTATAGACAGCCAACTCAGTCCCAGCCACTCCTCACAGGGTCTGACGGACAGGAGGAGACAATTGCCCCCACTGCTCTCAGCAAAGCCTGCAAGAGGAGTGGGCAGAAGAGCTACTGCACACAGGACGGGGGGGGGGGGGGGGGGGGGGGGTGGGCTAAGGGGAAGTGGCTGTTTAAAGTTGGTTCTAAAGGCAAAAAGGCACTCTGCATTAAAAAGGTAAAAATCCTTTCAATATTTTGTGCTTAAAGTGGAAATTCAGTCAATATATGGCTAAAATGTACTCCCACCCCCATCCATCATCTCCCCTGTGAAAGAAAAGATGCTTCCACTTATATGGGCAGCACAGTGGCTAAATAGTTAGCACTTCCGCCTGGCTGTACTAGGGGTCATTTGTTCCAATCCCCACCATGGCACCACCTGCCTGGAGTTGGCATGTTCTCCCTGTGCCTGCGTGGGTTTCCTCCCACACTCCAAAGACATGCTGGTAGGTGAATTAGATCCTGTCTAAATTGGCCCTAGTATGTGTATGTATGAATGTGAGTTAGGGACCTTAGATTGTACACCCCTTGAGGGTTAGGGACTGATGGGAATGTACAATATATATGTAAAGCACTGCATAAAATTGATGGCGCTATAAGTACCGGAAATAAATCTATCCTGAAGCTGCTCTGGTCACATGACCAGGCCCCAGCTTCAGTGTAGAGGGGCAGCTGACAACGAATGCCCCATAACAAGCCTATGGACGACATCACTGCACAGGCATTTGCAGCCATTGTCATCAATCTTTCCTCTTCGCTGGAGAGATCATGTGACTGGAGCAGCTTCAGAATAGGCAAATATACACTTTTACAGGGTAGATAGAAGAGTCTTAAAAATGGGGGTAGGAGGGAGTTTAGCCTTTGCTAGGTTTAGACTGGACTTCCACTTAAATATGCACCTAAAATTCTGGAAAAACTCGGAATGTGTATCCACTACTGTGCCCCATTTCAAATCATAGGGGGGGAATTTAACACGTTTTACGCTTAACACAAACTTACTCATAGCTTAAGGTGGTTGAGCAAGTGCTTAAGCGCTGAACGGGTTAACTTTAGGCTGTACCCCCAACTTTAGGCTGTACCCCCACATGATCAGTGATTTTATGGAAGGTGAAAAGGTTGAAGCAGTGCAGCAGATCCTTTACTTTCCCATGAAAAAGGCCTTAAAGTGGAGGTGTTAGAACCAGTTGGGGTTTATTGCTGTCTGTGTCCCTGCTAAGGAGATTCTCCCTCTGTTTGCCCCATTTAGCAATATCATTGAAAGTAAAAGCCAACATTTTGGGTTTGTTCCAGAAAAGGAAATCTTTCAATGGGGACACTGGCTTTGGTGACCTGGGTGTCCCCAGGGAATGCCCTTCATTTGCAAGGATTTCCTCTCACTTCCCGACTGGCAATAGGACAGGAAGTGAAGGGAAATAGCTGCAATGGGACACAGATGGTGAAAAATCTGACAGGGGGTTAGAACCCTCACTTGTGCCATTCAAAATGGAAGGGGGGGGGGGGGGGGGGGGATTGCCTATAGTCCTACTTTAATATATTGACCTGTATACAGATATTAACAGTGCACAGAAGAGCAAAGTATCCGCTTTAAATTAAGCATCTTTTACAATGTGAGCAGACCAGCATATAAACCTGAAAATACACCGACATGGATGGCCATTTAACCGTCACCAAGCAGCTGTTAAAAGCTTTTAAAAAGTGAATATGAGCTGCTAAAAAACATGACTAGACAGCATGCCAAAGAGCTGCCTTAACATGGAACCAGTTAAAAGGAAGAAGATGGATCTAGAATATGCCGTGGAGTTATGGAGCATTTCAGCAGCTTACCACAGTTCTTTAAATATAGAAATCATGACAGGTCTGCCTTAATCTGTGAACATATGTAAAAATGAAATGGTTAATGCTCATAGTAGAGTTCCACCCCCAACGGCTTCCAGAAGCAATGAATATCCTGAGATAAGCATGTGTGTGATACAAAGTTCCTGCCTCGAAATGCATATTGCTTACCTGGCCCTCAAAAAAAAAAAAAAAAAAAAAAAAGTGTACCATGACCATTGAGAAGTTGATAGCAGCTGAAGGGGACTCCTATGGGTAGATCGATTGCCTTTCATCCACACTAGAATAACCCACTAGTATGCAACGGCCTTTATTATTTCAAAATTAAAGGCTCGGTCACACTTCACTATTCTAACTCTTGCCAAACACCCCTATAGCGTTGATAGGAGTTTGGGAATATCCCCAGATGCCCTATGCGCGGTTTTGAGGCGGTTGAACAGTGTTAAAACCTCATCACAAACTCCTATAATGAAGTTAAAATTGTATTAATCACTCCGCAAACGCGGCGCAAATGCCTGTCAGGCGTTTGAGGTGCAGCACCATAGAATTGTAGATAATGCGCACACACCGGATGCGCGTATAAAATGCACCTTTATATCAAAATATCAGATGTCATCCGTATTGAGTCAGGAACTGGGTAGTCTTCCTTTTAAAGGGTGGTAGGTCAGACAGGATGATACCCAGTTCCTTAGAAGAAAGACAACCCTGTTCCTGACCCAATACGGGCGACATCTGATATTTTGATATAAGGGTGCCTTTTATATGTGCATCCGGTGAGTGCGCATTATCTACTACATCACCGCACGGACACCGGCTTTATCACAAGAGTCACTTTATGAACTGTCCTTTATTCATTTGTGATGTTTTATATCGATTTAGTGGATTTTATATATATTCATGCATTTAGTCTTTAGCGCTGCACCCTTATTTACATTACTTTGGTATTTTTTTGGTTTACCATTGTGCATCAGCTGCTTCCTTTTTTAGGACACACACACTTGAATGAGAGGCTTCAACTCCTCCCGACTCGACATGAGGCATCAGTTTTGCCGCAACGCTAACGCATCAGTGTGAACAGCATTGTGTGCTGCCATATGCAGAATTTTCATAGGTGTTTGAGAAGCATTAAAAACACTTCCCCAAACGCCTGACACTGCTGACAAAGCTAGTGTGAACGTAGCCTAAATACTCCGATAGATCAGAGTAGCACATAAGCAGATATTTGGTAAACCGGAAGACTTCAGCACCCACCTGGCAGAAAGTGGGGGTGCAGGATTTGGAGAAGGCAGCCTTCAGTTCTGCAACCTCACACTCTTTCACATGCTCCACACACAGGCAGTGGGAGTGCAGCAGTTGGTAGGTTAGCTGGTTAACATCTGACCAATGAACATACAGCGTACGGGAACCCAGCTGCCTGCCCAGCAGGTCTGACTTGGCACGGGAAGCAGAGTCCTTCTTCATGTACTCCACAAAACCATAGCCCTTGGGACGTCCAGTAACACCACTGTACACCAGGAAACACCGCTCCAGATTACCAAACGGGCGGACCAAGTCCTCAAACTGCTGCTGAGTATAACCGGGTGGTAGGTTTGCGATGCAGAGGAGGGCGTCTGTGGGCTGCAGCTGCACCGAGATCTCACGGTCACGGAGATGAGTGTGGTGAAATCGGCGGATGGCAGATTCTGCCTGTTCTCCATTCAGCAAGGTAACAAAAGCTGCAGGGTACAAAAACACGGAGAGAACTCTTTAGTAAGCACATCTCATACTAGTACTGCACAGAGAAGGTCATACAACCCAAGCTGATGAATGCTATAGGAGAGAGCCATGGGTCACAAGTTTACAGCAGTGTGAAAAAGCTATAAAAAAGGGTAAACATGACAATATGCAGAAATAGTTGATCACCACATGCTCCCCTGTGTTGCCTTACATGAAAGCTTTGCAACCAAGTCACGCTGAAAACTTGAAGAATAATAAAAATAAAATATATAATAAAAATATATAATAAAAATAATTCAATGGCAGCTTCCACGTTTCTTTCAGGAAGGATTTATTTTAAAAGTATGGCCAAAGCAGAGTGCTCACCTGTGACCCAGTATCAGACAACAGCAGCTAAAGCCTGCTGACATCACAGCATGAAAGGCTCTGGAAGGATCCCAACAATATTGTTGCAGTCCATCCAGATGCCCAATTGGCAGCCGCCTAAAGCAGTGGTCTCCAAACTGCAGCCCAGGGACCAGATGCAGCCCTGTGCTTTTATCCAGCCCCTGGGGCACCATTGCGCTCACTGACACCAATGAAGGCAGCACCATTCCACCCACTGACACCAATGAAGGGGGCACAGGCTCCTCCTACTAACGCCATTAATGCGGCTCAATTCCTCCAACTGACACCAAAGATGGCGCATTGTCTATTCTCACTGATGTTAGGATCTTTTCTACTCCCAGTGGCCACAATCTTACCCCACTCAAGTCTGAAGGGCAGCAAGCTGGCTCTTCGTGTAGAAAGTTTGGAGACCCCTGGCCTAAAGCCTCTAAGCAAGCTGCCAAGAGCCCGAGCCAGCCACTCCAGCCCCTTTCCCAGCCTGGTGCTGCAGAGGCAGAGCAGAGAGTAGTGACAGACAGTTAACTGCTCTGTTTTGGGAAGATGGAGAACTGATCGATCAACAGTCCTATGATCAGTTTTCAGGATTAGAGCTTGCAGGGGACAGCTGCAGCACCAGACCAATGCTGCAACATGGAGGTGAGCATGTATGCCTTTTTTGCATTCCCACTCTTCTTTAGGACACGTCAGTCATGGGCAAGAACTACAGAGCCTTAATGTTTACGGACTATGTAGGAGCCACATAAGCTCCTCTTTAAACCAATGTGGTCCTAAATTAACAGCTACAGACACATACAGATAGCTTGGAGAACCAGACATGGCCCCAAATCTACACAGTTCCTAAAAGGCCAAAAAGGGGACTGTAGCCTAGGACACAGATCATTTTCACCCTCCATGTACATCAGATATACAATAGGTATCAGATATATTCTATTCTCATCAGAGTTGGTCCAGGTAATCAACATTTGGTTCTTACCAGTTCCTTTATATTTATCAACAAAACAGTATTTCAGCTCATAGTCTGCCAGCAGATCATGGACTTCCTGGAGAGAGAAAAAAAAATATTTTTTAAATACATACTATAATTAACATTTATACACAATATTAAGGTCAGTTCATAAATTGTTTGGATCAGAAATACATAAGCAGTGTAGGCGGTAAAGGGAAGACTTAGGGCTCGTTCACACTAGGCTGTTTTGCCAACGCTTGCCAAACGCCCCTATAGCGTTTGGCAAGCGTTGGTCCGGCGTTTGCGGAACGGTTAACGCTCGGCAAACGCTGCATGCGCGGTTTAGCGGCGGTTGCTAGGCGTTTGCCGAGCGTTAATAACGCCCCACAAATGCCTATAATGCAGTTTGAGTGGTGTTACCGCTCCGCAAATGCCCCGCAACCGCACCGCAAACGCCGGCCGGGCGTTTGCGGAGCGGCACCATAGACGAGAATAGGAGGCTTCAAAGCCTCCTGACTCGTCCAGAGGCGTCCGTTTTTCCGCGACGCAAACGCTCCCGTTAGAATGTTAGAATTCTGCTGTAATGTGCAGAATTGGCAGAGGCGTTTGGGAAGCGGTAAAAACGCTTCCCAAACGCCTCTCTGCCGCCTGCACACAAGGCTAGTGTGAACGTAGCCTTAAGGAACATGTTCCCAGACTAAATACACCAAAGTATTTACATATAAATCAGTAAAAGCAAGCTCTCATTCAGCATTGAACAAAAAATAAAAAGTGAAGAAAAAAAAAAAAAAAAAAAAACAAAAAACAAAAAAAAACCAGTTCATTTGTACAGGTCACCCAAATCTCAAGTTGTCAGTATGCAAAGTTTTTTTTTTTTTTTTTTTAAGTTTTTAATAGAGTAGAGAAGGGTTAGAGATGCTGTCTGAGCCAATTAGTGTGCGTTTATGTGACAGCATACATACATACACAATCCATACACGTCAGTAAGTGTCTGAGAAGTTATGAATGTATGAGGAGCATTGCCTCATGGGACATGTAGTCCTGGGCAGGAGAAAAGCAATTTAATGTATTTAAAAAGCAGAATTTTTTCTGCTTATTGCATACACATAAAAATCAGTCATGTGACCAGCTCCCCGCCCCCATATACTTACCGCATCCAGATCTCGATCCAGCTCTGCTCTCTCCTAGCAGGTCTCAGATGCAACAGTGTGAGCCATTGGCTGCTGTCAATCATGTCAGCCTGAGAGGGAGCAGGGGGTGGGGCCAAGCCCCACTATCAACAGAAGCCCACAGAGTGGATAGGGAAGTAAATTAAGGCATTAGTTTTACATTTAAAGTAAAAGTTTACCAACACACACACACACTTTTCATCCATTTGAAAGTCAAATCTAAGAATAATTGGTCGATTTTCACTCTGTTAGTGGGGCAATGACGCTGGATGATTTTCGCGGTTCCTCCCCATTTTGTTTATCAGGCATGAAATCATTGGTGGCACCAGATTACAGAACAAATGTTTTCAATTAAAATATTCAGTATCCAACCCATGTACGGCCTGCTTAAATCACAACTTCACAAAAAAAAAAAAAAGTTTCATATGGGTTACAGTGTTGCATGACTGCAACTGTGAGTGTGAAAGAGGAAAATTGGTTTGGGCAGGAAGGGGGTGAAAGTGCCAGTTATTGATGTGGTTAAGGAAGGGGGCAGTCACAGCTCAGCTTTTTTTTTTTTTTTTTTTTTTTTAACCACCTTCACCTTGGCTCCAAGCGCAAGTCTGACCTACAAGTTGCTAAGCTGTTGTAATATTTGTTACCAGGAAAATAAAACTTGGGTTTCATGTGGATGCTGCTGTAACAAGCGTATCTGCAATGCCACTGTGCCCTCCAGGCCTATTTTTACTCCATGGAACACAGCCAGATAGAAATAAACCAGTGAAATGTGTCAATCAAAAAAAGTATGACAGTGAGTGTTCTGGAAGGGAGCACAACTTTAACTAGGGGAAGAAGAAAAAAAAAAAAAAAAAAAAAAAAAAAAAAAAAACCCCACACGACAACTGATAATCATAAAATGAGTAGAACACATGACCAGAACCCAGCATGTGATCTTTAACTTTTCATTTTGTATTCATCATCGGATTTGAAGCCTTGCATAACCTGATCATCATTCCTGGGTGATGCCATCTAGCATGGGTTACAGAGAGGGGACTGGAATTTGCACACAATCCCATTGTCAGGAGGCCACTGACAGGGGCGTATGGGAATCACAGGACTGAATGACAAGTACAGAACACAACATTGCAGGACACAGCTGTATGAGGCCAGTGACTTCATGCCAACAAAAAAAAAAAAAAATTCACATGTCAGCCCTGAGCAGCAGTGGCCACCAATATTATTATACAGGATTTATATAGCGCCAACAGTTTGCTCAGCACTTTACAATATAAGGGGGACAGTATAATTACAATACATTTCAGTACAGAAGGCATAGGAGGGCCCTGCTCATGGAGCTTACAATCTAAAGGATAGGGTGCATGTACAACGAACACGTGTATGTAAAAAATGTTTAAACATTTGTGTTTAAAATTCAATTAAAAAAAAAAAAGAAATTGTGCAGACAGCCATATTATATGCAGCTGAAAGCAACAAACATTACATCGCACAGCACAGTTGTCTGAAGGGGTCCGCAGACTTCTATAGTGCTGTGTAGAGGCAGACAACGCTACAGGCATCTGTAAGGAGAATTTATCACACCTGTGTGAAAAAGGTTAAAATATATTAACGGCAACCAAGTATAACCAAGTATATACACTCAGACATGGTGGAAGGAAAAAAAAAAAAAAAAAAAAGGAAGAAAAAGGAAAAGCTCCACAAGAGGAGCTGGACAGAAAAATAGCTGAAGGACCTTGATGTGCTTCAAATCCTAGATGCAACCAGTGTTGGAGAGTTTCTGCATTCCAATGGCCAGAATATCACTTTCTGGGCAATGGAATCCATAAATGCTAGACATGCCTGAATGTGCCATACGTGGCTTTTATGTAACATTTTCCTACCAGGAGTTGTGGCATGCAGAGGGGCTTTTACAGACCCCCCCGTGTACATGAGGCCTACAGATGTACACACACACACACACACACACACTTTTTGTAATATGTTGCATCTTGGCCCTCTTTCCCATGGCGCCCCCGGCCCAAAATACATCTCAGCAGGAGATCTTAGATTGATCCCCTGCTGAGGTAGATAATGAAAGTCTGCCTGGTCTCTTTTGCTCCAGCTTAAAGTGGAGCTCCACCCAAAAAGGGGAATTTCTGCTTTAAGCCTTTGTCCCTCAACTCCCCATTAAGGATTGGAACTTTTCGGGAGCGGGTACCCGAATTCAACAGGTACCTGCTCCCGCTGTAATCGTCTAGGTGATTGAAAGCAGAAGTTGTCCTCCTCCCCCCACCTCCCTGTAGTCTTCTGGGACACGTGACAGGTCCCAGAAGACTACGGGGCCATTCACAAAGCAGAGCGCTTCTTGCGCATGCGCAGTGGGAACCCGGCTGTGAAGCAGTCACAGCCGGGTGCCCACACTGAAGATGCAGGCGCCAGGGAGAGAAGACGGCCGGTAAAACCAGCGGTGGTGAGGACAAGGCTGGACTGAGAGACAGTTAAGTTTCTGTATTTAACAGTCAGCAGCTACAGTTTCTGTAGCGGCTGATTTTATTTCATTTTTCCCGGTGGAACTCCACTTTAAGACCCGGACATCTATGCATTTTTTGGTGCTTTTTTTACAGAAACGCACTACAGTCCATTTAAGATGGTTTCCTATGGGACACGTTTACATCTTTTTTCAGCTGCTGAGTCTTTGGAAAAGGTCAGGGACTCTTTAAAAGCAAAGACACTTTTAATTAAAAAAATGATATTTATAGCACTGTAAAATGTATATATTGTACATTCACATCAGTCCCCAACCCTCCAGGGGTTGGAATCTAAAGGTACAGAACATTCATACATACACATACTAGGGACAATTTAGACAGGAGCCAATTAACCTACCAGTATGTCTTTGGAGTGAAATCCACACAGGCACAGGGAGAACATGTAAACTCCAGGCAGGTGGTGCCGTGGTTGGGATTCAAACCAATGACCTCAGTACTGCCAGGTGGAAGTGCTAACCACTTAGACACTATGACTGCCCAATAAACTTTAGAGAAGACACTGCGGGAAAAGCATGTAGTGCATTTGACACATTGATGCCTTTTTTTTTAATTTGCCCAACAACTTGCCTACCGGGCACTTTTACCCTCTTCCTGCCCAGGCCAATTTTCTGCTTTCAGGGCTGTTGCACATTTGGACAATTGTGCGGTCATGGAACACTGTAGCCATTCGAAATTTTTTTCCATACAAATACAGTGGAAATGAAGTCTACACACCCCAGTTAAAATGTCAGGTTTCCCAAATGTAAAAAAAAAAAAAAAAAAAAAAAAATTACAAAGAAATAATGTCAGAACTTTACCCCACCTTTAATGTGACCTATAAACCATACAACTCAATTGAAAAAAACTGAAATATTTGTAGTGTAGTAGTAAAGATAAAATCTAAAAAATATGGTTGCATAAGTGTGCACACCCTTTTATAACTGGGGATGTAGCAGTGTTCAAAATTAGGCAATCACATTCACAATCATGTTTGATAGGAGTCAGTACACACCTGCCATTTAAAGTGCCTCTGATTAACCCTAAATAAAGTTCAGCTGTTCTAGAAGGTTTTACCTGAAATTTTCTTAGTCACATCCTACAGCAAAAGCCATGGTCCGCAGACAGTTTCCAAAGCATCAGAGGGATCTCATTGTTAAAAAGGTATCAGTCAGGAGAAGGGTACAATAGAAATTCCAAGGCATTAGATATACCATGGAACACAGTGAAGACAGTCATCACCAAGTGGAGAAAATATGGCACAACAGTAACATTACCAAGAACTGGACATCGCTCCAAAATTGATGAAAAGAAAAAAAAACTGGTCTGGGAGGGAGGCGGCCAAGAGGTCTACAGCAACATCACAGGAGCTGTGGGAATATCTGCAAAGTACCAGCTGTGTGGTACATGTGACAACAATCTCCCGTATCCTTCATATGTCTGGGCTATGGGGTAGAGTGGTAAGATGGAAATCTTTTCTTATGAAGAAAATCATTCAAGCCCGACTAAATTTTGCAAAAACTTATCTGAAGTCTCCAAAAAGCATGTGGGAAAATGTGTTCTGGTCTGATGAAACCAAGGCTGAACTTTTTGGCCATAATTCAAAAAGATATGTTTGGTGCAAAAACACTGCACATCACCAAAAGAACACCATACCCACAGTGAAGCATGGTGGTGGTGGCAGTATCATGCTTTGGGGCTGTTTCTTCAGCTGGAACTGGGGCCTTAGTCAAGGTAGAGGGAATTATGAACAGTTCTAAATACCAGTCAATATTGGTACAAAACCTTCAGGCTTCTGCTAGAAAGCTGAACATGAAGAGGAACTTCATCTTTCAGCATGACAACGACCCAAAGCATACATCCAAATCAACAAAGGAATGGCTTCACCAGAAGATTAAAGTCCTGGAATGGCCCAGCCAGAGCCCAGACCTGAATCCAATGGAAAATCTGTGGGGTGATCTGAAGAGGGCTGTACACAGGAGATGCCCTTGCAGTCTGACAGATTTGGAATGTTTCTGCAAGGAAGAGTGGGCAAATATTGCCAAGTCCAGATGTGCCATGCTGATAGACTCCTCCCCAAAAACAGTGCTGGAATCAAATCAAAAAGGATCTTCAGCAAAGTATTAGTTTAGGGTGTGCACACTTATGCAACCATATTTTAGTTTTTTATTTTTACTTCCCTCCACCTAAAAGATTTCAGTTTGTTGTTCAACTGAGTTGTACAGTATAAAGGTTACATTAAAGGTTGAAAAAGTTCTGAAATGATTTATCTTTGTCTCATTTTATACATCACAGAAACCTGACATTTTAACAGGGGTGTAGACTTTATATCCACGCTAGAGCTTTCTTTTGGTGGTATTTAATCACCACTGAGGTTTTAATTCTTGCACTATAAACAAAACAAAAAAATTAGCTACATTCTGTAATTGAAACAAAGCACTTTTTGGTTCAAACAGGTAACTTTTCTTCACTGATGTGCATTGATGGGGCGGCACTGATAATCAGTGCAGATCTGCTCTGTGACAGTTGCTGGTTCTCGGCAGTACTTTCCTCATGCTGTGACAGTGTAAGGAAAGTGCTTACACTGTATGTTACTTCGTGCCCTTTTGTGTCATTGGTGGACACAGCTGATCACATGGTAAAAGGCCGCTGTAATTGGCTTTACCTAGTCATGTGATCAGCCGTGTCTGTAGGACACAGATCACTGACAGCACCAGGTGTGCACACTGCTGGGGGCAAGTTCTGGGAGGACGTCATGATGCCCTCCCAGGATTGGACAACAGTGCTGTAGCTGTCATCCGGCTATAGGGTGGTTGTACAGTGCTTAAGGAGCAGGCTTTTTCCCGCAATTTGTGTTCATACAGAACAATCTGTTTTTTTTTTTTTTTTTTTTACTTGAAATAAACTTAGAACCCCTAATATTCTATTTTATTTTCAATAGCAGAGGCCATAGAAAACAAAATTGGTGGGTTAAAAAAAAAAAAAACCACAAAAAAACAAAATTGTGCAGGGGTTTTCGAAATTCAATTTTGGGGGGGAAATTTTTTTTTTTGTTTAAATTCTCAATTTTAAATGCCCCCCCCCCCCCCCCCCCCCCCCCCCCCAATTTAAATCTAAAAGTTGTTACGCCAAGTAAATAGATACCAAACATGACACTTTAAAATTGCTCATGGTAAAGATTTAGGATTGCGGCCAGAGACAAGGTGTCACATGCCTAGGCATTCAGAACCGATTGACACGTGTGGTGCAGACTGGAGCTCAGGATTCACACGTAATTGATACAGTAGTTGCACTGCGGTTCAGGTCAGGATTACATCAGGATCAGGTCAGGATTTCATCCCGTTCACACGGCAGGTTTAGAAATGGTTCCCATAAAGGTCAATAGCCTGTAATCTGCACCTGGACTGCACTGCTCAGAAATCACACCCCACTTTCAGTCTGCCCTGCTTGGGGGGGGCCTCTGTGTATTGAGGGGGAGGAGTCACAGCTCCCTGTCAGAGCGGAGCCATCCCCGGTATACTAGCACACAGCGGGCACTGCGCCCGGGAACAGGTACACATATAAACAGTACATACACATGAGAAAAAAAACCACATACAGTACACCATACACATGTACACAGTACATACAGCACCCTCTCCTCCTCACCTGGTTGGCGATGTCCCCCGGCAGCCCCTTGATGAGGATCTTCCTCCGGTTCCTCACCTCCCTCTTCATCCTCTCCACCCGGCTCCGGATCTCCGGGGGCTCCAGCCGGGGCTCCCTCCGCTGCTCCTCCTCCTCCGGGATGAACACCTCCCCGTCATCCCAGCCCCCTCCACTCGGTTCCCCGGCACCTCTAACGGACACGGCCGCAGCCATCTTGACAGGAGAGCTTGTCCACCTGAGCACAACACTGGAGCTGCGCCCTCATTGGCCGAGTTTAAACCGGCCGGGGGCGGATACGCCGATTGGCTGCTTCGGACGCCGCCCCGCCTCCTCTGAGTTGGTATGGTGATAGGGGCGGGATCAGAGAACAACGTGTAGAGCGCTGAGGATAATCAGTAGAGGAGTTGTCACCTCAGCTGTGTGCGTGACCACGTGGCCGACTGTCCCCGGGACTGCGCGTGGCCGACTAACTCAGGGACTGTGTGTGACTGACCCCGGGACTATGTGACCGACTGTCCCCAGGACTGCGTATGACAGAATGTCCCCGGGTCTGCGGGTGAAAGACTGACCCAGGGACTGCGCGTGACCGACTGACCCCGGGACTGTGTGTGACAGACTGACTCAGGGACTGCGCGTGTCGCTCTGTGATGACTGTAGTCCAGCAGGTTTCCTCTCCTGATGTAAGCCGGATCTGAACAACGACTTTGCCAGTTCTTACCACACGTGTGGGACCGGCACTGGGAGTGTGCGGCACGTCTGGCCACACTCAGCGATACGTGTTCTTTGTGGGGGGGGGGGGGGGGCAGTGTACACTCACCGGCCTCTTTATTAGGTACACCTATTTAATTGCTTGGTAACACAAACTGCTAATCAGCCAATCACATGGCAGCAACACAATACATTTAGGCATCTAGACGTGGTGAAGACAACTTACTGAAGTTCAAACCTCACAATGGGGAAGAAAGGGGATCTAAGTGACTTGGAACGTGACATGGTTGCTGGTGCCAGACGGGCTGGTCTGAGTATTTTAAGAACTGCTGATCTACTGGGATTTTCACAGACAACCATCTCTAGGGTTTACAGAGAATGGTCCGAAAAAGAGAAAATATCCAGAGAGTGGCAGTTGTGTGGACAAAAGTGCCTTGTTGATGTCAGAGGGGGATGGACAGCCTGGTTGGAGATGATAGAAAGGCAACAGTAACTCAAATAACCACTTGTTACAAGCAAGGTATGCAGAATACCATCTCTGAATGCACAACACATTGAAGCAGATGGGCTTACAGCAGCAGAAGACCACGCTGGGGGCCACTCCTGTCAGCTAAGAACATGAAACAGAAGCTACAATTCACACAGGATCACCAAAATTGAACAATAGAAGATTTAAGACCGTTGCCTGGTCTGATGAGTCTGGATTTCAGCTCCGACATTCAGATGGTACGGTCTGAATTTGGCATAAACATGAAAGCATGGATCCATCCTGTCTTGTATCAATGGTTCAGGCTGGTGGTGGATCCGTCCCGCCTCGTATCAATGGTTCAGGCTGGTGGTGTCATGGTGTGGTGGATCCATCCCGCCTCGTATCAATGGTTCAGGCTGGTGGTGTCATGGTGTGGTGGATCCATCCCACCTCGTATCAATGGTTCAGGCTGGTGGTGTCATGGTGTGGTGGATCCATCCCACCTCGTATCAATGGTTCAGGCTGGTGGTGTCATGGTGTGGTGGATCCATCCCGCCTCATATCAATGGTTCAGGCTGGTGGTGGTGGTGTCATGGTGTGGTGGTTCCATCCCGCCTCGTATCAATGGTTCAGGCTGGTGGTGGTGTCATGGTGTGGTGGTTCCATCCCGCCTCGTATCAATGGTTCAGGCTGGTGGTGTCATGGTGTGGTGGTTCCATCCCGCCTCGTATCAATGGTTCAGACTGGTGGTGGTGTCATGGTGTGGTGGATCCATCCCGCCTCGTATCAGTGGTTCAGGCTGGTGGTGGTGTCATGGTGTGGTGGATCCATCTCGCCTCATATCAGTGGTTCAGGCTGGTGGTGGTGTAATGGGTGTGGGGAATATTTTCTTGGCACACATTGGGCCCCTTAGTACCAACTGAGCATTGTTTAAATACCACAGCCTACCTGAGTATTGTAGGTGACCATGTCCATCCCTTTATGACTCCAGTGTCCCCATCTTCTGATGGCTCCTTCCAGCAGGATAATGCACCGTGTCACAAAGCTCAAATCATCTCAAACTGGTTCCTTGAACATGACAATGAGCTCCCTGTACTCCAATGGTCTCCACAGTCACCAGATCTCCATCCAATAGAGCACCTTTGGGATGTGGTGGAACGGGAGATTCGTATCATGGATGTGCAGCCAACAGATCTACAGCAACTGCGTGATGCTATCATGTCAATATGGACCAAAATCTCTGAGGAACATTTCCAACGCCTTGTTGAATCTATGCCAAGAAAAGTGAAGGTGAAAGGGGGTCCAACCCGGTACTGGCAAGGTGGGCCTAATAAAGTGGCTGTTGAGTGTATATTATTTGTACAGTATCTATGGGCTCCTCGACATAGGCATCTAAGATGTCACTTTTTTTGGTGTTTAGGTGGTTTTGTTTTCTGTACTGATCTGAACACATTGCTTTCAATGGGCCTGTACACACATATCAGTAAACCAGCACTGAGATTAAACCAGCAAAAAAAAAAATCAGCGCTTTGCTCATTATTTTACGCAAATACATGTGTAAACCACACCTCCATAAATAGTAGTTGATATTATTCGAATATTGGACATTCTGGGAGCTAGAGGATATTTTTATATGTGTAAAGAGGGACACTATACGGACCATCCTCACGTTTTTGCTTAAGAACTTTCTGCCCAGAAGATCTGGAGTTCATACATCAGTACCGTGTACAAGGAACGCTAAAGTGACACTAAATATTCTTCTGCTCTATAAATAATCCATACACATCCACTACTTAGCCTCGGTTCACACTTGTGTGGTGCGGGAAACTCCACGATCCATGCACATTTTCCACACCGCATTCAAATCACACTGCCCTTGCGATCTGCAGTAGGTGTCGGTGCAATCTTATCCCCTTGCCATTGACATCGAAAAAATATGAGGCCTCAGAGAACTGGGTTTTTTTCCCGTGGGGCCACATTTTTGCATACCTGTCTCCCAGCGCAAAACTGGGGTGTTACTGAGAGCCCCCGGGTCCCGTTCTAATGATCTGGACCCGGGACTCCCGATTCCAGGTCACATGATCGCTGTGATAGCCTCTGATCAGTCACTGTGAAGCCCACCCCTCTTGTTTTGTTTTTTCTCTCTGGAGGAGAGAGATACATTGTATCTCTCTCTCCTTGCATACAGAAAAAAACAACTTTGTGAGAAAGAAAGAAATATTAAAAAATAAATACCTAGATCAAGGTTTTTTATCTAGTTCAGTGCCAGGGTTAGTGTTTGGCTCAAGGTCAGGATTTTTTTTTTTTTTTTTTAATTAGTAGTGTGTTTTAGCTAAAAAAAAAAAAAAAAAAAAAACCCAAAATGTGCACTATTGTTTCTGGGCTGTACTATGGGTACAAATAACACACACATATATGGTATCGCTGCGATCGTCAAGAGCTGGAGAATTTATTTTGGGTTGTTCTTTGGTGGTAGATTATGATACTAACAAGAAACACACAGCTAAATTAAAAAAATATATATTTTTTTACTATTTTGGGCTAGTTTTCCTTTGATAATAAAAAAAAAATCAGGAGATATCCATTACTATTTGCCACCAAATGAAAGCCCAATTTGTCCTGAAAAAAACAAGGTATTTATTACAGGTACTTATAGCGCTGTCAATCTATAGCATTGCTTTACATATATATTGTATGTTCACATCAGTCCCTAACCCTCAAGGGGCGTACAATCTAAGGTGCCTAACCTACATTCATACGTACACATATTTAGACAGGAACCAATTCACCTACTGGCATGTCTTTGGAGTGTGGGAGGAAACTGGAGTACCCGGAGGAAACCCACACAGGCATAGGGAGAACATGCAAACTCCAGGCAGGTGGTGCCATGGTTGACCCTAGTGCTGCCAGGCAGAAGTGCTAACCATTTATCCACTGTGCTGCCCGATGGTCCACCTGGATGTGCAGAGTAGTTGTGATGATATGGACGGTTTCACTATCACATGTCAAAGTTGTAAATGTTACTTAGGCTTTAAGATTTGTTTTACCCTTAGGCATGAAGGGGTTAATCACACCCCAAACGCAGCTCACAAACACAGTGCGTTTGTCGGCACTGGATCGCATGGTACTAAAGTATGACTTAGGTGAGTATTGCAGGATACCCCAGGTAAGACTACCCTAGAACCTCTGTCCCCTTCACATGCCCCCCTCCCCCCATCCATCACAGCCACGTCCTCTGCCCCCTTTACTCTCCTACCTTATCCAGAGCAGAGAGCGAGCGGCAGGACAAGTTTGGAGGGAAGGTGGAAGTGGGAGCAGGGGTTAATATTTCATATTAACAAGCTGGTAATTGGTTGCTAGGACCACCCTGCATCCTAACAACCAGTCACCTGCTGGTTAATTTGAAAGGTTGATTGAGGCAGCTCCCACCCTTTCTCCAGTGCTGCTGTGGCTCCCACCCTCCGTCCAGAATTGTCCTGCCTCTCGCTCTCTGTTCTGCTGTGATAATGACAGCGGTGAAGGGTGGGGGAAAGAAGCGGCTTCTAAATGGCGCGACTGCGGCAGTCTATGGGGCAGTGGCTCGGTCATTTGGTAATGCCTGGCTTACATTATGAATGTTTAAAGGGATCTTCACAGAATTCACCAGTAAAAAGGTCTTTATGCAGCCCCAGTCTGAGGCACACTCTGGAATGCAGCTGCACAGACCAGGCTGTCACTGACAGTGTCAAATGCTGCAGTCGCTCACACACAGTCAGTGCTGCAGCTGTACACCTTCTCCTTTCTGCCATCGAGGAGAGGAGGGGAAAGAGAGGGATAAAACACCAAGATTTCCAGGGCTGTGTGCTGCCACAGACAGAGCAGAGCAAAACCCTGCCCACCCCCAGCGAGGGCAAAGGAAACAGTAATGCTGTAGGCTGTGCAGCCTGGGAAAGGATAAAGCCTGCTGGGAACAGAGAGGATTTGTGGGAGATGTAGTCTCCGGAGAGACTGAACCTGTATTACAGATGAGCTCTGGAACCACAGATCCCACTGCAGATGTAAGTGCTACACCTAGACAAGTCAATGCTAGTCTACAGATTCATTTAGAAGTACCTGTTCTTGCTTCTTCAAAAATATGTGCAGATATTCGCTTCATGTTTAAATCAAGCCCACCAGCACCTCCCCTGCTACAAACCCAATTTGTGGGCATTCACCTATTTTGGTGCAAATGCCTGAAAGTTAAGGCGGGGTTCCACTCAAAAGCGGAAGCTCTGCTTATTTGTGTCCCCCCCCCCCCCCCCCCCTTCCACTGCCAAATTTGGCACCTTTTAGCAGGGAGCGGATACCTGTTTTTGATAGGTATTCACTCCCACTTCCATCTCAGTTTCACGGCGGCAAAGTGAGCCGAAAGTTTGCCCCCTTCCTCCCACAGTCTCCTGGGAACTTTCACAGGTCCCAGGAGATTGCTGGACCAATTAGGAGGCGCAGTGCGATTCGCACATGCGCAGCGGCCACCAAGCTGTCACAGCCCAATGCCCACAGTTGAGATGTCGGTGCCGGACGGACAGAAGGGACTGTGCGGGGTGAGAACATTGATGGACCCTGGGGCAGGTAAGTGTGTGTTTATTAAAAGTCAGCAACTACAGTTTTTGCTGACTTAATGAACACTAAAATGGCTGGAACTCCACTTTAACTACATTTATCTTAAAGAGGTAGAAACTGCCAAAAAAATGATCCCTGCAAAACAATGTCATAAAGGGAAAGTATCGAGGCGGACTGACCATTTGGAAACTCGGGCACTGCCCGAGGGCCCGGGGTCAGTAGGGGGCCCCATGAGATGCCCCTGGTACCTTTTTCATAGGCTTTTTTGAGTTTGGGCAAGGACACAGGGGCCCCATGATCCCCCATTGCCCAGGGGTCCCATGAGTTGTCAGTCCACCCCTGGCATAGTATGCATCGCATACTAGCACATTATGAAAGACTTACCTTAGAAAGGAGCCCTCCAGCGGTGTTGTCACTGACAGGGCTTCCATCTTCACCAGGTCTTCCTTCTGGGATCACAGGCTCTGACTGATTGATTGGCCGAGACACGATGACGTCACTCCCACGCATATGCACAGGAGTCTTGCCCACAGCACGGGGCTTTGAAGAAATGGCACGCATGTGCCGGTGATGCCATCGGCTGCAGGGGCACTAATGATCTCCTAAACGGTGCATGTTTAGGAGATGTTCCTTGAACCTACAGATAAGATTTTTCTAATACGCTTACCTGTAGTACAAGTGTCCAGTGGGAGTTTACTTCCACTTTAAAGGAAGAGTTTTGTTTTGTTTTTATTAAGAAATCATACTTACCTAGGTGGATGCAGCATCAGTCCGTTGCTACATCTGTTCCCCGCCGGCTCTAAGGCTGGCCATACATTATACAATTTTTTTTGAGAATTTTGGTTTAGATTTACCAAAAACCATATAATATCAGGACAAACCAAAGAAACACGTTCAATTGTATCCAATCAGGCAGGCCCTTGCACTACATTGTTGAAGGTAAATCTAAAGGAAATTGGGCAGAAATTGGATAGAAAATTGTATAGTGTATGGCCAGACTTAGACTGAGAACTGAGCATTCAAAGGCCCGCTGATCGCTCTTCTCTGTGAGCTGGTGACAGTCAGTCACCGCTCTCTGCTCTGCACCCCCCCACCCTCCCCCCAGCACTCACTGGAGCCATGGGCTGTGGAGGGGGAAGGAGTGGCTGGCTCAGGCTCTCAGTGGAGTGCTGAGAGGCTGAGGCAGGTGACGGTCCAGACATCTGGGTTTATCCCGACTGGGGATCTTTCCCCAGCCTGGACCGACTGAGTGACGTCAGCCGACAGCGGACTTTAGCCAGCTGACAGCTGAAAACGGGCCACAGGAGTGCAGAACGAACTGCACTCCTGTGAT